GAAAAAAAAAAAAAAAAAGATGGGACGAACAAACTGTCCTGCCCGGGACGGCCGGGAGGTCAGGGGTGGGACGCGCTCCCCTGCCTGGGGACCTCTTTCATTTCCTCTGCCCAGGCGGCCGCAGATAACAAGGTGGCCAAACTATGGCTCTACGGATCCTAAGCTGCCTGGCCAGGCACAGCCTCCATAGCAGTTCCAATTATCTAGATAAAAATCTGGCAGGCGAGGAAGGTAATCAGGTAATGTACCTTTGACATGAAATGACAGAGGCGCATGCACCGCAGGCACCCACGGAGACACTTACACAGACACGCACGCAGCCGGTGGCTGCCCCGCGCACCGCAGCATCTGGCCAGGGAGTGAGCACACACTCACCAACACGAGATAGTGTGCATTCCTCTCTCCCTCTCACACACACACACACTCAGTCACTCACACACGCTCTCCACTCCTACTGGGAGGGTTCATTCTGCACAAAAGGCTACATTACAGAGCCCGCCCCAATAAGGGAAAGAGAGAAAAAAAAGCCTTCCATTGTTGAGAGGGCAGGTCAGTTGATTAGATTTTCTGTGGAGAATTCCACGAGGAAATTCCCTTCAAAGCCGAAGTGATTAACTGGGGGCTATTCTGGAAATGGAGCAGACAATGGCTCAATAGTCTGCACAGCCAATGTCCAGGCTGGCACTGAACTCACTTTAAAAAAAAAAATAAAAGCCAGACTCCCTGTTCTTTTCCACACATTCCCCCCCAGCCCCCTCCACTCCTTCCAACTTCCCCTCCCAATTCCTTTTATTTTGCAGCTGGACAACATTAAGGGCCTTTAAAACCACAAGGGTTGACCCCACAGCAGTTTGATTAGGTCCCACTTTTTTTTTTCCCCTGGCGACAGGCAGACAGTAAGTTTACTTTCTTAGACATACACAATGTGACACCGTATACATATTCAAATAGCAAAGTCAATGATTAACCTTCTCATATTAATACGTTTATTCTTCACTCAGAGCTTATACATTTTCTGACAAAGTTGATAATAACTTAATAATGAGATCCATCGTTCACGGGGTATCCTAAAAATAAATGTACATATACTGCAGAATCAATGTGGAATACGGTTTAAGCACGTCACTATGGAGTTAAGACACTAACAAAACACAGAATGACGACCCACCCTGAGAAAGCTGTTAACAAGAGATGTGGCAAAAATGACTTGACGCTGACATGATTTTCATTTTCAGCAGTTGGGGAAGGGGAAAGGATATTACTCACTATTCTTTCTTGTCATTAGCCTCAAATTATTTTTTATTATAGCCACAACCCACTCCTACATAGAAATGTGAGAAAATCGCTGCATTTATTTCAAAGATCCATTTTTAGCCCTTATGAGACCTACAATCTGATACACTCGGATCGATAAAGTACACAAAAAATAATTTTTTTTCTATTGTTAACGTGGGTTATGAGAATTAGGGAATGAAAGCTGCACGGCCAGCTACTCCATGCCCTTTAAAAACAGTTTTGTTTTTTAAATTTCCTAATGAGAGAATCTTGTTTCCTCTCATATAAATAGAGAGAGAACAAATGAAGGAGGGAGGTAAGTTCCAGGGGCCACGGAGGCTGGAGGCAGGAAGAGGGGGAGGCGGCGCGGAGGGGCCGGGGAAGCGCAAGGAGACACAGTGGCAGCAGATAGAAACAAAGATAACGGCCATAAGGCAGGATGCTGAGCCCGTATGGTCCCAGCTGCCGTCCTGCTACAGCTACTACCTCTGGTTGTTTTCTCTGAAACTCTAATCCAGAAGGTCAGCAGAGCAGGTAAGAAAGAGAGCAGGGCTGTCTGAGGCCAACTATAGTAAAAGGGAAAGGTGCTCGTACCAGAATCTTCCTTGCCCTGGGTTTTGTTTTTATAGACACTTAATATATGTACATGTAAGTACACATACGCCAAATAAGCACACAGAACATGCAGGAGAATATTAAATGGGTTGGCAGTCAGTTTAAGATCTCAACATATTTCTATAAACATTACTGGAGCCATTCAAAACTAAATTATTTCTTGCACAATCATCCCTGCTGAACGATTTGAAATAGACTAGGAACTAGACAGAAAATTTGCCAAATATAATAATGATCATTTTAATAATGATATTTTGAACTGATGGAACTCCCAAGCTCATAGGAATTTTATTCACATAGATTAGCTCATGGATCGTATGCAGCATAGAAAAGAGGGGATATGTATATCCCTAAGCTCCCCTGTGTTTAAACTTGGGCGAAAGGAATTTAAAGTCATACAAATGGCTAGTGGTCCATTTGTTGCTTGAAGCCAGATCTTATTTCACTTGTGACACCATAATACACAATAAAATAACAATCCAGAATTTATAGCTGAATGAAAATCCCAAGATGGTACTCACTTTTTAAGTGAACTAAAAGGCTTTCAAATAATTGCTAATGAAGTTAAATTTGATATAATCTCATTGGCATAAAGTTAGTACTGTACTTGATGTTTCAATGGAATAAATATTTTTAAATGTAGCTCCCTAGGCCATAAAAGTTTTCTTTCATTTGAATTCTATATTGCAAATTTGAATTTAGGCAAGATTTAGAATGTCAGCAAAAGAGAAGGAAGTTGCAAAATATTCTAATCAAATTCTATCATTGGTAATTTCATTAAAGGATTTAATTAATCTAATCAATCCAATATCGAATAGTAAGTTACTATTATAAACCTTTGTATTTTATAGCAAATATTAAAACATTTAAATATTAAGTGTGTTAATAACTTCCATATAATATGTGTTAAATAAAACCATATTCTTTATCAATTACCTGAATAGTTTAACATAATTAATTGGTTATGTATCTGGTATTCTCTATAAAGAAATTAACATCTGAATATGATTTTGCTATACTATGATAAGAAGGTCTACAGAAGATTTCATAATATCTCAATAGATGTAGATTGAGATACACTGAGCATTCACTGAGCATCTATTGAATGCTTACCAATATGTTAAGTACTCTGACTTTAAAAGGAGAATTCAAGAAAAATTTGTAACGAATCAAATTAAATATATATAACCAAAATTCAGATTAATTGTTTCATATCCAAGGCCTCTAAGGCAAATATGTTAAGAAAAGTTAAAACCAAAATAAATAAGCACATAAACAAAAAGCGATGATGAGAACTTAACAGAACAATCATTAAATTTGTGGGAAATATGAAAATGATCTACAAACACAAATATACAAACATAAATACATCTTCAGAGAAGACCAGAGCGCCAACTACAATAAAAACCCCTAACAAACTATGTTTCATTTACTGAGTCTCTTTGACACTGCCGCAGCAGTATTATGGAAAATGGAATGAACCTGAAAAAGTGTGCTTTTGAGCTCATGTCCTTTCCATTGCAAAGCAAGAGGCTCACACAGGCTAAGGGAATATAAGATATGCCACTGAATGCTGCTGGGAAATTCTCAAAGAGAGTGTCTCAGACTTTTAAGACCAAAAACAAATTATTTCCCACATTAACCCCTTACGGGCATTGTTTCAAGCAGGCCTTTCTACGATCTCTCTCCTCATCTAAAAGGAAGCATTTTCATTCCCATATTTTAAGAGAATTGTTAGACATTTTTAATTTTCATAACAAATTGAAATATGTGGTCATAGATACAGATTACACTTTTAATATTTGATATATGTTCCTACTATCAAGCTTTAGTTTTTGCATTTTATGGAATCTGAAAGGCTATTTTTGAGAAATAGAACTCAAAAATAGTGTTATGACTGCAATGAATTGGAAGCAAATCGGTGTCAGACAGTACCTACACCGTACTGAACTAACCTGACACAAGGGGCGTTATGGAAATGTTCACCTAACTTTTTTCTCCTCACTGTTTTTTCTTCTTACTTTGTCAGGAAAACATTACAAAATAACCTTCCCTCTTTCAAAACAAAACAAAAAAAAAGAGCTCATCATTGACATATTATGTATAGTTCAAAACTTTTAGTCTTGT